ATATTTAAGGAGGAAGGAAATAAAAAAAATCTATGTAGCTGTGTTATTTGTATATATACATTAAGTTGACTCCATTTGAAAATATCATAAATAAGGTTTGGGAAGTGATGGAAGGCTCTTCATCAGTATTATGAAGGTAATTTAGATTACAAGGATTAATAAAGGTTGACCAGAACAGAAATAAGTAAAGGCAATAACTACTCGTCAGTTAACATTTGGCAATGGTCTAGAACCGAGTTGGCAATGCGAGCATGCTAAAATTAATAGGGTAAAGTGAGAAAAATTTAAATTTTATTATTTATTAATTCATACTAACAAAAATTCAGTTACAATTTTTTTTAGTTTTACTCGTTTAAATCACTGAATATCTGTTAAATGCATTTCAACGGACTTGCTCCCGTACCCATCCACCTTAACTCTATGATGCCTGATCCTCCTAGCCCTCTCCTCATTTCGACAAGCCCCAGCCGCTTAGCTGAAAAAGCCCGTTCGGATAAGATCTCTTCAATCATGGGCAAATACTTGCTGAAAGGTTGGAGGATGCTGGGAGAGACATGTGAAAATTGCAATGTAATGACCAAAACTATTGATTTAAACTAGACTATTCTTCTTAGCGATAGGAATGGCCAAGACTACTGCATAGGTTGTATAGAGATTGATGCCTCGGATGACTCAGGTAATAAGTCTGGCGATGTCTGCCCGCGACCCCAAGCACCAACTGAAGAAGCCAAAAAATCTCAGTAATCCGTCAGCAACCTATACGTAGCTTAATTTAGAATGACCAATTTATATTAAAATTTGAGCTGTCTTTTAGATTCCACAGTACATCTTTACCACTTTGTGACAAAATACTAACCCAATGCCCCCCTGCATCCGGCGATTGGGACGCTGCCTCTTCGAATGAACTCATGGATGTCATCAGGCGCCGTGTACGATGGTGCGTGGCTCAATTGAATGATGCAACGTCCCCTAATGATATTCAGCAATGGGCAGAGGCCATCAGAAACGTGTCCGAAGCTTGGTCCGCTTTGCACAAATGCATGTCCTTGGGATAGCATTGCGGATATTCTGATACGCCTACCTTAGTTTTTATGTTCTAATCACATCTCACAGAATCAAGACCTTATGCATTTACTCGAAAGAAGGCCACATTCCTCATCTTTTGTTAATTCCGTCTCATGCTCACCGTAATCAATATAGATCGCTTTATTCCTTGATCTTTGAGCTCACTGCTAATCGATGTTGGCCCTGCATCTATTTGTTCCATCATTAATTAAAGCTGCTACCACGCCCTCAAGCGATTGTTCTTGATTATACGTTTTTCGTAAAAACTTTTTGATTCTTGACATCGTCATATTTTTAGTAGTGGATCACGTCTTTGGGAATCTAACAATGTACAATATCCGTGAATGTCTAACAACCCCCCTGAACTCTACTCACTGCGAAAAGTCTTATCACACAGCGTTGCCAGTATTCTAAGTACCTGGCTGGGGTTTAAAAGATTGAGCATGAGTCAAGGTCTGTCTACGTGCACTATCGGTATAGGACTAGGGTAAGCGGATTTGCGGAGGGTGGCAATGCGGAGTAACGATGACAGTTATCACACTGCCCGACATTCCGTTCTTGGGTCTTGCGTTCATAACAAATAAGTAGATATATTAATAAAAGTCAGATAGCATTATTAAAAACGGTGCTGCTTTGGGTTCCTTTGCAAAAATCTGTTAATCGTATATTGCATGTGACCTAGCTTTTACAACTGAGCACGGCATAAATATATACATTTCAAAAGAGACGGGATATGGGCGTCGGTGTCCAAACATCCGGTGGAGGGGTTATTGAAATCGGACGATTTTTGCATCCGAGAGACCACTTTGCGTGGAGGTGTACGCGGCACGGTGAAGCTACAATGCAATAAGAAAAAGGTTTAACCTGTAGGTTGATCAGTTAAAAAAATGAAATAGAATGCGGTATTATCCGCCTATAGTGAACTGGATGCCAACAAAAGATGAACTATATCCATTGGCTAGTGCTATACTAAATTACAATGAGCCACATAATAGCGGGGAAAATATTTTGACCTAGAACAAATTGGGCATGATTGATAATTGAAAATATCCCATAAACAAGTTTGTGCCAATTTGAATGTGGAATAGCTGTAGCAAATTCAAGAGGCGCAGTCTTCACATGAGCTTTTCGGGGATTCTCTTGGGTCGAAAATCTTGTTTCTTAGAAATTCTTAGCGAGGTGGCTATTGTGAAGTGTAGAAAAAAGGATGAAGTCGCTTTCTCGAGTCCAAACGTGCTTGTTGGAGCACCATTCATTTCGTTTGAAGAGGCGAGTAGAAGAGATTCATAAATTGGCTCTACCGGAGTCTGTGGGGGGTTGCCTCGGAGCTGTGGATGTAGATTTGTGCGAATAGATCCTCTGCGACCCGACAAATCCTTGCTGGGCTTTCGTCCGTCACATGACGGACAACGTCAGAGTATAACACCATGCCTAACGATAATTCACCAAAAACACAGAGGCCTCCGGTGAAATCAACTTACGAATCCCTTTCACACGCGTCTTCAAACGAAATGAAAGGTACTCCAACATGAATCTATTAAGGGATTCTTCGAAATCCAGTTTTTCCAC